TGGACACCTCAGTTGTGAGATTTAAACAAACACTCCCTTCCTCTTAGCCTCTTCCTCCCTCTCCTCTCCCACCCTGGATTAAAATAACTTTATTCTCTAGTGTGGTCAAATGTAGCACACTTCACAGCACTAATTATCTGTTTGAAAAAAGAGCAAAGTAGATTTTCCACATTAAAGGTAATTGGCAACATTGCTGAAGAGTCAACACTTACCATATAATGGTCAATTTAGCAAACAAATGTCCAAGTGCCTAAGTGCAAGCTTGTACAATTCTGTAAACTCAGTTAATTGCTTTAGTTTGCATAGGGGCCAGGCATGTTGCTATGACACAACCAAGTCTCAACACTCAAAATAATTTTGATAACTTTTACTCTTTTAAAATTAGATAGTAGGCCTCAAATCAAAGACAAATGTTTAAAAAGGGGCATGGAGAAAAGCAGGAAATAAAGCAGCAGCCATGCAATGAACATGGCTATACTGGTCACAAATACTGCTCTATTCTGCTGGAATAACTTTGAATATAGAATGATTGAGCATGGTCTAACCTCCCCTATCTCATTTGCTTTCTTGACAGAGATTTCCTTTATTGCAAGTCTTAAGCTTCAGGAAACAGGGAGCTCAGCTATACTACGAACTGATTTACTACAGTAAATTATTTCCCATATACAAGCAATATGCATTAATTTTTTTTTTTCTGGCAGATTATACTTGCACTATTTTTTTCAAAGTATTGTTTTCAGAAACCACTTTTATGCTTTTTGACATAATGAAAACAAATGGTGCCCCCTTATATTCTGCCATTATTCATGACCCTGTATCAGGGACAGGCAATTATTTGGCCTGGAGGATCACTTAGGGAGTTTTGATGAGTTATCATAGGCCAGGTCAGCACCTGCCCCACCACCTGTAATAGCTCACCAAAACTCCCTAAGTGTCTCTGTCCCAGGGCCTGGCCCCAGGCTCTCACTGCCTGGAGATCCTGGCCCAGCCCTAGCCCTGGGGTCTCTATGGAGACCAGCCTGGGACCCCAGCAGGCTGGGCATGCTTAGCTAGGTGGATGAGATGAAGCTGTGGGCAGTTCTACTTTAAAAGATGAGGACAATACTCCCCCAATCACTTGTAGATGGGGAGGACTCAAGATGCAGCAAATATAATGAAGGACCACTGAGGAGGGAGGCTTGGAGATCTCGTGCAGAAAGTACTTTACAGTATCTCCTTGCATATCTTGACCCAGAAGGGCTTCAGGTAAAGTGGTGATAGGCTGCAGGAAATATATGGGCACAGCTGATTGGAACTGGCTGTCACTGGACCAGGGCGGCCAGTGAGTGCTACTTAAACCAGAGAATAATTTCATAGTCTAGGAACAATAATACATTCTGGTCTCCTGCCCTGCCTTAGAACCTGACTAAGCCAAGTCTAGCAACTTCAGCTTCACTCTGAAGAACACAATTTTGCCTTTATTATATCTTGTGTATTCATAAGAGCTTTCTAATGCCCTGAGGTATAATTTTACTGATAACCATTGTTCTCCGTGAGATATAGTATAACTCTGGCAAATTATGCAAAGGTGGATTGAAGATGCTGGGAATCTCTAGGGACAGACACTACACATAAACCAGTTTAAGTGATAGGAAACCAGTTTAAACCTGTAACAGAACAGAACCGAACCTGTTCAGTGCACATAAACCTGTTTCAAAATGGCCAAAACCAACTTAAGATAGACCTTGATGAATGCAGTACAAACTTAACTTAGGTTAAACTAGTCTATCGAACATCTGTCCCAGACCCACTCTGGGATCAAGTTAACTCACAATCTCCCAGCACCCCAGGATGCTTTGCACCTCCCCTGCAAACCCCGCCCCCCCACTTACAGGGTGGGCAGGCAAAGATTGGCCCATGCCATCTGCTCTAGCCAAAAAGGGCCAGTACCACCCCCAGGCTGACACAGAGCTGAGACAGCAAAATCTCTCTTCTGGAGCCCTGGTCCTGCTTGTATCTGTTAGCTTAG